ATCAGATAGAAGATCTGTTCCAGGAAGGAGTTACTATGTCAAATTCTTTAGGCAGTTAGTGGGGGAGGTCAAATGTCCGTCAGAGAAAACAATCAAGGTAAAGAGATATATTTCAGGGTGGCCAAATCTTGATCTCCCACACTAGGCTGGAACATAATTACACTCAGATATGAATGAATGGTGAAATTATAGGTGCATTTTACTAAATGGTCCAGGTCATGAGTCTTACATCCCAGTGAATCCCCTAGTGCTGTGGGATTTGATTCATTTATGGTTCCCTCATTATTTATGCTGTCCTTCTCTCCATCGGTCCTGTTCTTTGCAGTCGGATACTTCTGGAAACTATGAAATCACACTCTTAAAGATCTGCGGAGGAGATGACTGAGTCAAGAACTAATCTCCAAAGATTACCTGCTGTCACGATGGGCTTTTCCAACAGCTCTGCTCACTTCTTTCTCGCAGTATTTAAAAGTACAAGCAAGTGTAAACAACAACCTGTTTTCCTAACAGAAATTTTCATTGTTCCATAACAACACAGCAACAAAGTGATTATTTTAGAGCACCTAATTCATAGTGTAATAGTTTATAAGTGAAATTTTAAAGTGGTATTAAGGATCTGCTAATCCTACTCAAATTATATTTCTGCTTAGGAAGTGAGAATCTTTGTACAGTTCTAAAACATTAAATATAAAAGCAGGATAATAAAAGTTATTGTCTTGGTTAAAGGTAATTTGTTTGTTTTTAGTGTCTACCAATGTTGTTTGGTATGTGGTGCCAACAACTAATGATATTTTAAAACACATTTTTGTTATAAAATCTGTTGCTGCTTCAATTTGTCTATTACCTGTTAATCACATTCATCTTTAAGAAAGGAATAAAAATAAAGACGTATGTAATCCTGGCCTGCCCTTTCTAGTTGTGATCAAGCTGTAGGAGGGGCAATGCATGTTAAGTTATTTCAGCCTTCAGAAAACATCTGCTGAACTATTAATCTAACCACTTCCTGTCTGAATGGCAAGCGTGAATTGTGGTTGTTTCATACTAAATATTACTTTCCCAGAATGGGTATTTAGAATCAAGTCTCTAAGGTTTCCTCTTCCTCTAAAATAAGTTTGCGAAGCTATACATTAAAAAAATCCCTCATGTTATCTTTGAAAGGGACCTGATATGAAATATTTGACTAATATGAAATATATAAGGTAAAAAATTCCAGTTGGAGTTATTAGTCTGGACTAGAATAGAAATGATCATACTGCAGTAATGATGTATGAGTCCAGAGCTTTTAGTCAATACATTCTACTAGTGACCACTTCTGAGACCTTTCAGAAAGATAGAGAAGTCATTTCTTGTTCTGGGGTTTCCAAAACGTATACGGGAATAAAACGCAAGGATTTAGAGGACAACACATCTGGTTTTGACTTCCTGCCCTACCATTTACTAGCTCTGTGACCCTGACAACTACTAAATCCTGCACAACCAAAGTTTTCTCATCTGTAAAATGGTGATAATTACAGCACTTATCTTTCCATAGAGTGTTTTTAAAGATTAAGTAAGATGATGTCTCTGAAGCACTTAGCCCTGTGCCTGGACATAGTAAGTGTTCAATTACCATGTTGTCATTATTGTTACTAAGCAACATCAAAATGATCACAGCAGCATTATAGCCATTTGTTCACCGAGCCCTGTGATAAGTAAGTTTCAAGGATGTTTCAAGGGAACTAAGACTCATTTCCTTTTGCCAGAGAGCTCAAAATCTGTTTAGGGAGAGAGAAACATAACAGATAAACACAACACAGTATGTACTATATGCATTCAAGGAAGTGACATTGTATAAGAGACAGAAGTGGTACAGAGGCAAGATCAGGAATTCAGCCTGCTGAAGGTCACAAATTCCACCAGTAAAATAGAAGAGAGCCTCTCCAGACAGGTAAGAACACTAGCAAAGTCCCAGAGTTATGAACTAGCATGGTATATACACAACTCTACCCAAAGTTTAGTGTGGTGGAGGCTTAAGGTACAAAGGGAAGTGACTGGGGATAGGCAGGGGCCAGATTATGAAGTCTCATGTACCATGCTCAAGAGTTTACAAGCAAGGGAGAGTCCTGGAAGGAGCATTCCAGGAGGATTTCAATCAAGGGAATGTTGTGGTCAAATTTTTGATCAAGAGGGAAGAATGTATGAGAGAAGAAAGCTAGAGGCTGGGAGCCCGCTTGGCAAGTTAGATATATAATCAATACTAAAATGTCAGCCTGAACTAAGAGAATGGCAAAGGGAGAATGAAGGGAAAAAAACAAAACAAACACACACTTAAATATTAAGAAGATAAAATTATAGAACATGGTAATCAAGGTAGTCATGTGTCAAGTGCGCCCCCACGATTTTGGCTTTAGTGATTCAGTGAATGAGTGTATCACAAGCAGTAAATCATTGCTAATACTCATTGAGTGCTTACGGTGTATCAGGCACTATGTTAAACAGTGTAGTATATGTTAAATCGCTACCTCAAGGAACTTGGCAATGTAGGTACTAACTCACAGAGACAGAAATGGAAGCTTAGAGAAATTAAGTAACTTGCCCATTGGAAGAGCCAAGATTTAAACCCAAGCAGCCCGACTCCAGTGTTCGGGCTCTTAATCACTATTTTGCCTTAGGATTTATCCTGTCCCAGGACCACTGTAAGCATTTGAATACAGGGATTTTTGTTGCATTCACTGCTTACCGTGGTGTTTAGAACGTGCTTGGCACATAAAAGGCACTTAATAAATCTTTGTGGAACGAATGAAGTTCTTTTTCCTCTGTGCATTTGAGTTATATAAGTGAATCTGGGTTGGCTATGTAAACATTTGTAAGTATACCTTAGCCTTAGCTTCCCATGCTTGGGAAAAGAAACTAATATCATTGCACTGTGGGCAGCGTTGGAGAAAAGTTCAGAAATTTTACCCACATGCAAAGTCCTTTTTCCAAACTACCCGTCACCATGGAGAGAAATATTTTGTGACCTGGCCAGGGCATTGGGACTTCTGGAGAAGCAAAAAGTTCAAATGCATATAGGTTCTCCTTTACGTAAATAACATCAAGCTAAGCTCCTAAGATGGTGTTACGAGATATTAATCTTGGCCACGTTCTTCAAAGTCATGGAGAAGGAATCTCTATCCTCTTTGGATTATGATATTAAGTGTTCTCTGTTCCCCTGGAAAAATAGTTTGCTCCGCTAGAGCTCTCCCACATACGTTTTTTTTCTTCTTTCCTTCCTTTCTTCCTCCCTCCTTTTGTTTCTTTCCATTGTCCTTCCTCTCATTCATTCTTCTCTTTCTTTCTTTATTACTATAACATAATTAGCACTTTTGAAACCACCCTCCAACATGAACACTAAAACTTTGACAATAGTCTACTACAACCATGTGGTCTGTCCCTCCCATCCTCCCTGCCTCTCCCCACCCAATGTAACCACCAACCCAAATAACACATTCATTGTCCCTTTGCTTTTTTTTTCTGAGGAAGATTAGCCCTGAGCTAACATCTGTGCCAGTCTTGCTCTGTTCCATATGTGGATCACTGCCACAGCATGGCTGACGAGTGGTGTAGGTCCACCCCCAGGATCTGAACCGGTAACCTGGGCTGCTGAAGTGGAGCATGCCAAACTTAACCACTATACCTTGGGGCTGGCCCCTGCTTTCTTTTTATATAGTTTTCGTTTAATTTTTTTCCTTTATTTAAGTGAGTCTTGTGCTGTATGTAATCTCTGGAACTTATTTTTTCACTTAGTATTATTTTGCTAAGTGATATCCATATCATTGCATACTAGGTATTTTATTTATTTTGGCTGCTATATATCATTCCATTGTGTAAATCATAAATATAAGTTTTGGGAAGCCACAAAATTGAAGGAAGTAGGGGAAGCATAGTTTTCTCTGGCTCCCTACCCCTTGTGCTTCTTTGAAGTTATGGTGCCCACTATGGCCACAGAAGTAGCCGTCATCTCCAGTCAGTAAGGGGCAAAGTGTAACGGGAAAAGCACAAAACTAGGAAGAACCTGGGCTTTTCTCTGGCTTTCCTAGGAACTCACTGGGTAATCTTGTTATAGAAAGGGATAGCCACTAAATCATTGTGAATGTCAATGAATATGTTATATATTTCTTAATTCCTAACCCAGTTCTCTGGTTAGGTGCAAATAAAGTCATAGTAGGTACACAATACACAAATTCACAGTACACAAGTACACAAATTGTGTATGATTTGTGTACGTAGTACATAAGTTCAAAGTTGATACAAAATAAATTTTAATGATAATGATTTGTAAAGTGGGGTCCTAAACCTTTCCTGAAAGCTGTACCAGGTTGTTGTAAAGAGCCCAGGAAATGATGATTAGAAAACTATTGAATGTCATTCAAATGTGATGTAGAATTGTAGGACTGATGTGTGTGTGAATGGAGGACTTACTATGTGCCAAGTACTATACTAGATGTTTTAGATCTCTTTTATTCTCAGAGATGTTATACCATATATCCATCTTAAGCACTTTGGGGAACAAAGCATGGTTATATGTGTCAATATTATCCCCATTATACAGATGAAGAAAATGAGTCTCAGATAGGTTAAACCGGTTACTAGCCCAAGGTTATGCAGTGGAGAAGCCAAGGTTTAGGATCCAGGTCAGTTGGTATTTGTGCATGGATGAGTATAAGGAAGGTGAGAAAGCAAAGGGAGTGGTGATCACTCGAGAGGACCCTGCAAAGAGATAGGAACATTGGGATAATGAAAAAGACTCCAAGGATCTCTCCTCCTCCAACCCATCTGTTCTTATCTTTCTTGCCTCCTATGTACTGGACCGGCTAGTAGCTGCTAAAAGTCTATTTCTGATGCTTCTGACGGACCACAGCTAGCTCAAGATGGAGGGTTGTTGTTAGTGATTCTTCCCAAGAACTGCAACACTTACTGAAATACTGTACCAGAATGAGAGGGGCAGGGTACGGCACAGGGCAGTGCCGTGGTTAAGTGCATGGGCCCAGGGGTCATACTGCCCAGATCTGCGACCTTAGGTAAGTTACTTTACTATGCTAAGCCACATATTCCTCACCTTTCTTTTTTTCTTCTTTTTTCTTTTTTTTGTGAGGAAGATCAGCCCTGAGCTAACATCCATGCCAATCCTCCTCTTTTTGCTGAGGAAGACCGGCTCTGAGCTAACATCTATTGCCAATCCTCCTCCTTTTTTTTTTTTTTTCCCCAAAGCCCCAGCAGATAGCTGTATGCCATAGTTGCACATCCTTCTAGTTGCTGTATGTGGGATGCGGCCTCAGCATGGCTGGAGAAGCGATGCGTCGGTGCGAGCCCAGGATCCGAACCTGGGCCACCAGTAGAGGAGCGCGCGCACCTAACCGCTAAGCCACGGGGCCGGCCCTATTCCTCACCTTTAAAATGGGGAAAATAATAGTTTCTATCTCATAAAATTATTTTGATAATTAAATGAGAAAACATTTAAAAGGTGTTCAGCATAATGCATAGCATATAATAAGCCCTCAATAAATGTTAGTCTAGATCATATTATTATTACAGTGTATGGTTCAAGGGCCATGTTTTTTATTGCCTCCAATTTCCACAAGGTGGCAGGTCAAGTTCAAAGTGGACCCCATGGCTCAGTGTCCCAGAGGCAAAACTTACTTCAATTGCTACAGAATAAGTGGGCCAAATATGAACTGTTCGGAAGCATCTTCTTTATACTGTCTATAGAAT